AATGTATACAGTTCATAAATAAAATAATAACTCAGCTTGTCATTAATTTTTTTAATTCATTTTAATTTCATTTCAAATTCAAACTGTCCAACAAAAATTGGATTCAGAGTCGGAATCTTTTCTGTTTTTAGCGACTCCAGCTCCGACTCCTTTTACCCCAAAATAAGCCTGATTCCGACTCCACAGCCCTGTTTAGGTGACAGGGATTCTTAATTTGTGATATATCTTCGAAACACTTATATGTAAAGACTTCTTATTGAAAATCAAAATTTTTTCTTCATTTATGTTTACATGATAATTCATCATTATGTGAGCATAATAAAAACATTGAAGTGTATTTTATTTTTAATTTGCTGTATTTTTTTTTTTTTTTTTTTTTTTTTTACATACAGAAATACGTGTGGGAAATTTTCCCCTTGTGTAGTGTCTTTTTTTTTCTTAGTGCAAAAAAATATAAAGTTTTTAAAATTAGAACAGAAAGAGTGATAAATAAGTAGTCTTGTAAAATATTTCTGCATAGATTTGCAAATAATTAGCTCTTCTTCTTTCTAAAAAATTACCTCCAAATTAGTTGTAAGCTAAATTCTTACAATTTAGATCCCATATACTTTATTTCAGTGATGTAGCTAGAACTTTTGCTGCCTGGGGTAATCTCAGAATTTGCTGCTTCTCTTGATATAAAAACAAATAACTATAAAAAATATCAAAACTACTCATAGGGAAATAAATAAATACTTTACGATCATTTTTTGAGAAAAATTTTACTTCCAACATTCTTAAACTGTATAATTTTGCTTGTTTTTTCATTCAATTACATTGTAAAGATTATTTGATTGCTCTTGCTGTTATGTAGGCACTAGAGAAAAATTTCTCAAATGCAAAATATGCATTTGTAATACTAGCAAAATATGCATAATTTTTAAATACTTCTTAAATTATTTTTATATAGAAAATGCTTCTCGCAACCAGGGCTGGGGAGTCAGAATCGGAGTTAGGCAGATTTTTGGGTAAAAGGGAGTCGGAGCTGGAGTCGCTAAAAACTTTCTGACTCCAGTTTTTCTTGAATGGTTTCAATTTGAAGAAAAAGAAATTTAATGACAAATTGAGTTATTTTTATCTATGGACTATATACATTAATAATATTTAATTATTTTCCCTTTGATTGATATATTAATAAATAAATATGAATGTGTAATTTGCCATTATTCATTAAACTGATTCATTTAGTTACTTCTCCAGATGAATTCTTCATAGATGGCATTGTAGCATAATTCACGACAAGAAAAAGAAGCCCATTGCATCAAATGGTACAAATCTCATTGTTAAATTTAGACAAGCAACAACAGCAGCAAAAACTCCCAAAAGTGATGCAATTCCTAGGAGGCGAGCAGGAAAAGGAGCAATTATTGATCAAAGGGGGAAGTACATATTTGATGATAAAGAGGTTGTTAAAATTAAGAACATTTCTTAGAAGATGTAGGCTACCCTATTATTTCACTAACAAAACGACTGTAGAATGATCTTGCAGATTTGGAAACTTTTTTCTACATCGTATATAGCCACAAAAAAGCTACAATCTGAAGAATTAACAGGAGGCTGGTTTCTGTGAGAATAGAAAAATGTGATGCTTGTCCTTTCTAAAATGAGATGGCTTGTTACAGAGGGAATTATTTCCTCAATGAAGAAAAGAGAAACTAGTTTGTTAGACAATGAGAGCTTGATGGGTTCATTATATATATATCCAAAATACCGAATTTTGTAAGTAAAAGCTATTCTTGAATTCTATCCACAAAAAGTCAAGTCAGAGCATTTTTAGGATTAGTGGGATATTATAATCATAACATTCCAATGTTCTCATTTATAGCAGCACCTTTAACTGAAACTTTAAAAGGAAACCTTAAGAAAGGGAAATTAAACTGGACAGAAGAGTGCACAAAAGCATCTGAAGAGCTAAAGGAAAAACTGTCTCAAAAGCCTATACAGTACAAAGTCCGTAATCTGGACATCCATTATCCGTAATGATCTATAATCCGGACCTCAAAGCCACAGACGTTTTTTTTGTAAAATTTGATACCCTTTAGATCATAATTGCTTTTATTTCATAAATTACAGTTTCATATTTTTAATTGTATAATTTCTGCATGCCATCTTACCAGATTTAAATTGATTATGTATAATCTGGAATTGCCGAAGTCCCAACGAGTCCGGATTACGGACTTTGTACTGCACTATATGCACCTGATTTCAATAAGGAGTGTATTTTGTAAACTGATGCTTCAAACTCTGGTATGGGTGTTATTTTAGCTCAGATGAATGAGACAGTGAGTATCTATTATTATACCTTACTAAGAAGTTTACAGAAACTGAAAAAAGGTACTCTACCACAGAAAAGGAATGCACCACCATAATATTGGCTGTAAAGATATGCAGTGTTATTTAGACGTGCATACTAAATTTCTCATTAATTCTGATCATAATCCCTTAGTTTGGCTAAAAAATAATGTGAGTCTAAAACTATGATGGAACTGCTCTTATATGCGCCCTCAGGTCGCCAAATTTCACACCAAACATTTTTGACGAGAAACTCCACGCCGCCATATTACTACCTAAAATTTTTGTCTACATTTCGAATTTTAAGCCTAAAATATCGCCAAAAGCGCGGTTTTTGCACATGCAAAAACTACGTTTTGAAGACACAATTTAAGCTAAAAATCTGAAACAAAAAATTTAGATAGCAAAAACATAAAGTTTCTAACCAAAAATATTTGACAAGAATCCATGTACACAGCGATACGTTTTAACTTAAAAAAACATCTACGAATTGCACATTCTAGTCAACGAAGGAATCTACGAACTATGCACACCTTGCTTCAATAAATTAACATAACAACAATAACAATTGTATAATTTCTGCATGTACATAGCATTCTGTTTAAAGTTAAAAAAAAAAAAAAAAATCTATGAATTGCACAATCTAGGCATTGCACACAAAGCAACCAGATAAACTAAACAAAATTACAAACAGTTCAAAAAATGACAATAACAACAGAAATTCATAGTAAAAAAACAATGAACATAACATTCTACAATCACATGTCTTTTTGAGATTCAAAATTTTGAAAGTAACGATAAAAACTTCCTCCAAAGTTAACATACTACATGAACACCACAATCCAAATCTTAAACTCTGCTGACAGCCACATACTTTAATAGCAACCATTTGACTGCAAATCCACACAAGAACTATTAGAAGCGCCCTTCTTCGTCCGAGTTCTCATAGCAGCTCCGCATTTTAGACTTCGTTTTAAAAGTCCCACAGAATTTCCAAAAATACACTTCGATCCTCATAAACACACCCATGAACAAAAGACGCTTTAACAACTCAAACATCGTACCTTTTAATACTAAATTTACTTTCCTCACAATCTAAAATATGTGACTGAAATCTTGCTACACATCTATTATTGCAACACGCCATTTCAAAACACACATGACATGAACTAACAGCAATTAAAACACTCCAGCAAAAGATTTTTCAACATCAACAGGGTTGCCATACAACACGCAATTGTGCCAAAAACCAGCGCAGAACACATATCGCCACATTTGGTGATATTAGGGCACATATAGCAGTAGAGCTTCTACGATTTATGAGATGGGCACTAGTATTATAACCCTACAATTACACTATTGTTCTTAGAAGTGGTAAAAAACGTAAAAATGTAGATGCATTAAGTCATACGCCCTGGCCTGATTAAAGAATTTGTTAATTTATATTGATAAAAAAATCTAGTTTGTTCTTTCCTCTTTTCCTGACTGTATATTATGTTATATGTTGTATATCAATCATGAATTGTGTTGTTTTGAAAAAAAAAAAAAAAAAAAAAAAAAACTTTAATTTATAAAATAGTCAATTAAAGTTTATCTGGAGGGGAGAGATAGTAATATTTATATAATTGTTAGATAATACTTGTCATAAAAGTTAAAAGTACTGACATTGAGTTTACTTAAATAATAATTCACTACACTCTTAAGTTTTTATTTATAACATGAGGGTGAAACTTAAATGTACAGTAGAACAAAATACAGGCCTGTGGAATGTTCCAACCAGATATGAAAGATACTTTTAAAGAATGTTAATGATATATATTTTTCTGTGAAAATTAAATCTTTTGATGGTCATCTCGCCCATATTTGGGAAGAAAGAATTGCTTAATCTTGCAGATGCTCAAGGATTAAAGAAAAGTTGAAAAGAAAGCAGTATTTATTCAATATGTGAGATACCAAACTTTTGCATTTTGAATTATTTATAAATATTACCAGTTAACTGTAAATAAAATCATGGAAAAGAAAAGAATTTTTTTGAATTAAATTCTTCTGAACTAAATTTTTGTATTACACCACTTTCAGTATTATTTCCTTCAAAACATTTTTTTAATAATTTTTTTCCAAGAAAGATAGTGTTCAAAGAATTAATATTAATAGCATTAAAAAATACTACTTTTGCTAGCTATATTTGAATTATAGATTGCTTTTGTAAGATTGTTTCTTGCTAACCAGACTGCCAGTGCTTATGGCAGATGAAAGACATTAAATAATATTACTATCTCTTAGAAATTTAGCCTCGGTTTTCTTACTTATTTCTGTAGCCAGATATGTACGAAGTTTTCACTTTAATAATTATGCAGAATTTAAGAGAAATTATGTGAATTCAGGCTGTACCTTTCTTTTCTGTGAATTACTAAGAATGTCTATATTTGAATCTTCAGAGTAGATTCCCTCCCCCTTAGATAAATGAATAAAAAAGTGTTAATTTTCTAAAACTGTCGTTCATGTATTTTGTAACTTGCAATGATTCAACATAGAAAGATGTATTTTTAAAAATGATTTTCTTTAAGTAATTGTAAAAACTTTAATGATTTTATGATGTAAAGGTTATAAATTTTTTATTGTTTCTATTCCTTTTTTAATTGTTGCTGAATACTATTTTTGTTTTTCAGGTTATCAAAATTAGAAGTTAACAAATTAGATATTAGGCATTTGCAAGATGGGAAGAAAAGGTAATGAATTAGAATATTTTACCGGTATTTTCTACATTTTATTTCTTTGCTGGATGCTTCTTCTTTTAATTTATAACTTATTTAAAAAATTATTTTAAATGTATACTTTGTAATTATTTTTTTTTGTTTTATTATGAATTGGATATAGTATAACATATAAATATAGCATAGGTTATAATATAGTAGCTGATATAGCATACAATCTGCTTCACACAAACTGTAAACACTTTTTTTTTTTAAATTTATTTTATTTTTTTTTTTTTCTAACCAACCAACGGTAGCTGCACTATAACTTGTAAATTCAACCATTTTATCCCAACTTAATTTTTATCTACTACAGTTTAAAAACTGTTAGTTATAAGTTAGAAAAAATATTCTGTGAAGCAGTTTTTCCTTTCTTAAGAATTATCTCGAATAATTCCTCAGCTACTTTAAATTCATCAGCAACACACACTGTACAAAAATGGCAAGCTGTGATATATGTGTGATGTCATTATTAAGCAACATGCATTGTACGAAAATGACAAGCTGTGCTATATCTGCAATGTCTGATGTCACTATCGAAAACTCCAAAATCTGATTTTTTTAAAATTTAACAGACATCGTGAATCACTGGCGATTTCATTAATATTCTGTGTTACTGTGCTGGCTGACAAACTGATATTTTTAAATTGTTGTTTGTAAGGTAATCAAACCAGATAAACCTATGTATAGATCTTATTTCTCTTGAAAACAATCTGCTCAGTATTCATTATTGTGTGTAATCAACTACACAGTTGCATTTTCATTTTCAGTCAAAGGCAACAAAATATAGAATTTGTTGACTGCGCCTTTGATGTTTCTAGTTTAATATCTTAATTAATAAATTAATAATGTAGCATATAAGATTTTGTTTTGTGTAACTTGGAATTTATAGCGTATGTCACACTGTCAGTTTTTTTATATTCCTTGAGGTTCTGAGCTTAGACTGGATCTTTGTCTCTGTTATTCCTCATTTGTTTTGCAGTACTTTAATCAGTTTGTGTCAACTTTAATCATCAATCATTTCTTATAGTTATTTACAGATTATTTTGCCAGAGAGTTTTTTTTCTTTCTTTCTTTTTTAATATATGTTTAATTTAACACATTTATTTCTCTTTCCATTAGAAAACGTTCTCGATCTTCTTCTTCTTCAAGCAGTAGTAGTGATGATTTAGATGGACTTTATAGCTCACATCGCCGTAGGTTAAAAAAAATGAATGAAGTTGAAAGACTTGCGGAAATGGAAAGATTGAGGTAAGAATTCTAAAACTATATGCATGAAATAATTGTGCAAATCATACATGTTTTTGAAAATATTTCTTGGAGTTTTGTAATCAAATTTCATTGACTTTTGATTAAGGTTAGTATACTCAATTTTTCAAAATATTCTAATTTATAAAGAATCTTATGATGAAAATTTGCTGTAATATTCAAGCAATATACAGAAGAGGTGAATATCCAAATGTAAAATGAGGCAAAATACAAACTTTGGCTGCCATTTGCTAAAATGGGTAGATTTTTTTTTTTTTTTTTTTTTTTTTTTTAATACAGAACCAAAATTTGCAAAAACATATGTTTGTTGTTATGAAAGCTGTTAATTCCAATTCAATGTATCCCAAATTAAAATTGCAATCTCTTATCAAAAATTATAATTTTAGTAATTCTAATTATAATAAAAATTGTAATGTATAATATATTATAATAAAATTTGCATTTATAAAAGTTGAATATTATATCACATTTACTTATGTATCTTGCCCTTTTGTACTAATTTTATCACTTGAAAAACAAGAGGAGGAAAATGCACAGTATGTACTGTGTCAAAAGCAGCAGCTCAAATGATATATATATAGCGCATTAAAAAGCTCACATAAAGCCACACTGATATTATTATATTACAGTATATTTCAAAAACAAGAGGAGGAAAATGCACAGTACGTACTGTGTCAAAAGCAGCAGCTCAAATAATATATATATAGCGCATTAAAAAGCTCACATGAAGCCACACTGATATTATTATATTACAGTATATTTCAGCTTATAATATGTACCAGCATGTAACACACAACTAATTTCAACGTAATTTCAAACTACATTTAAAAATTTTTAAGTATTTTCTTCATATAATGCACACCCTTTTCTTCTATGAAGAAACCTGAAAGGTACATGTGCGATGCACGTATCTTTCGAAGTGATTCATAGATTTTTCCCAGGCTTTTGAATAATGATATACTGAATTAACAAGTGATAAGGGGAACACTATGCATGTGGGGAAAATGCTTGAGGGAGTAAATAATTCTGGCAACCGGGTATGTTATATTCAATGCAGATCTATGCAATAATGTTATAGAAAATGGCACACAATTTGGGGAAAGAATGCACTTCTGACTCGAATGAAATCGTGGAATCAGGAGTTGGATATTTTCTCTTTCTCCAGTCATTTGAACCTGTAATTTTGAAATGAACATTAAAGGTTTCAGTAAATCACATTTTCTTTAATTGAAGTACAGTAGATCTGGTTTTTCTTTTAGTAGTGAATATGGTTCCTGCTAAATGAAACAAACATAGTGCTGTTTAAAATGCAAAGTTATTCAATTCGTGAAATAAAATCAAAATCGTGCATTTTGTTGAAAGCTGCAGCAAATGGGAGAAGTATTAAATCACAGTAATTAATATGCCTAAGAATAATTTTTTTTTTTTTTTTTTTTTTTTTTGCGTAATGAAATTGTCTATCCTCGAAGAAAGTGTTACGAACTGGATCTTAGAAAATCTGCAGAATGGATTAATTCTTAGAAAAAAAAAAAAAAAAAAAAAAAAAAAAAAAAAAAAAAAAACAGTGTATGATTATTTCTTTTAAAGTGGGCAGAAAAGAATGCAAATGAAAGTGATAACTTTACAGCATCTTTGGGTTGAAGTAGTCAATGTGGCAAGTTTCCAGAAGTAAATTGTTGACCTCTGAAGGCAAAAAAATTATTTACTGTCTCTAGTAATGTTTGATATGATAGGAAATAAAACAGTTGTTGTAAAAGGAACAAAAATGGTACACATGAATGCAACAGATCATGAAAATTCTCAGTTCCATAGTACTTTTCTGCTTAGCAGACTGTACAAAATTAAACTTGTGATTATTTTAAAAAGAAAAATGATGCTGAAATGTAATTTCCCAAATGATATCTTCATTCATGTTCATAAGAAAGGATGGATAAACAAAAATGGTGTAAAATTGTGGTGTTTAGCAAAAGCATACTGCTGACTAAAAATTCTCAAGTCTTTTTTTAGTTTAGGACATGCTCAGATTCCATCTAACAATTAATTCCAAGAAATTGATGAAAGAGATTAACCCAGACATGACAGTAATTTCCTGCAGATTAAAACCATTTGTTCAGCTTTTAGATGTGTATATGTATAAACCATTCAATGAAATTTAAAATGACAGTGGAATATGTGGATGTAAGAAGCTGAAAAAGCAATCATAAAAGCGACCAAATACATCATATCATCTGAAAATATGTCTGAGTGGATAATAAAAGCATGGAATGAAATTAAACCCACCACAATTCAAAAGTCATTTTAAAAATGTGTATCTAACAATCTAGATGGAACAAAAGATGATTATTTAATTATGGATCAGAGTAACAGTGATGACGAAGATGAAACAGAACTCGATGATGTGCTTGAAGCCATAATGGAAAATGAATATGATGGACTTTTCATTTATCCAATAATGAAAATTATTAAGTTCATAAGGTTTGTCATTTCTTTTGTATTTAGCTGCACATAGATGTATAATTTTTGTATTATCATATTCTCCTTATTTTTAAATGCATCATTTTTATATCTGGTGTAGAACACACACCTGTAAATTTCAATCTTATTTTTTTTTGTGTAAGTTTGCGTTATATGCCAGAATATACTGTAATTAAAATTTTAATAAAATTATAAAAGTAGAATGTATCAGTAAGTAGTTATAATTTTAACTATGGTCCTTATCAAAATTATAATCTTAGTACCTCTTAATTTTTCATATTTTCATTTGATATCTGTTTTATGTGATATATGTCATTATATTGTTAATTTAGGGCATTTTTTTTTGCTCTTCATTTGGATTTTGATTACCCTTCATGCAGAATACTGCTACTCCATAAAGAAGAGAGACCAGCTTGCATGTCTTTCTCCATATCAGATTTTAAAATTAGTGCCAACTTGAAATTGAACTTTTAGTACCTTTTATTAAACCATGATTGCCTGGCTTAAAAATCAAATTATTAACTGTTATGATACTTTTTTTTTTTTTTTTAGTTTTTATTTGTATGTTTAAAATTACATTCTGATCTTTTGCAGGAGGCAAAAAGAACTAGAGTCAAAAATGGTTGAAGAAGAAACTTCTAAACGGATAGAAGAAATTGTTGCCAGAAGAGTAGAAGAAGAATTAGAGAAACGAAAAGATGACATTGAAAAAGAGGTATTACGTAGGGTTGAGGAGGCGAAAAAAATAATGGAAAAGCAGATGCTGGAAGAAATGGAGAGGAGGCAAAAATTGGAGTTGGAAGCTCAAAAAGCAAAGGAGGTAATAGCAAATGCTATTCTCAAGAAATCTGTGATATATATTTTCTCTCTTTTTTAGGCATTAAAATTTGTATCATATTTCTGAAAAGGAATAAAAGTTATGTTGTAAATAGAAAAATGGGTGGTTATTTTTCTTTAAGTTAAAAGTATTAAAAGTAGAATAAACTTTGAAAATTTTGGAATTTTTGTCTATAAAATTGAGAGTTTTTGTAGTCACAATACTTAAATCTGAAGACACTAACTCTTATAAGTCTGTGCATATCAGTAGTTATACTAATTTAATTTGATTAAATATGAAAACAGTCCGAATATATAACGCTTTTTTTAGAATTGTGCTCCTCAACACACAGGTTAGATCTGAGTTCAACACACAGGTTAAATCTGAATTGTTACTTTTTTAATTATTTCTGGATATTTATATATACATATCCATTTTAAAATAATGTGCACCTAAAATTTGAGATTAAAAATCAATAGCTAAAGGTTTTCTTAAAAAAAAAAAAAAAAAAAAAAAAAGATTTATTTCTTATCGTTATGTGCACAACCACCATTATACGAAGGAATTTAATTTTTTAGGAACTTCTTGTATCACCCCTGACGAATTTTTTTATATTCGAATGTATACATACCTTCCAACTTACTGTGTATAATATGTATACATTTTGAAATTATTTTTTTAAAATAATATAATGAATCTAAATTTTTCGAGTTTTCATAATTTATTATTATTGGCTTAGATTTTCATTTGTGAAAAAAATATTGAGAGATTCCACTCAATTTCCTCAGATAATAAGGACTAATTAAATAAGCATATGAATATCATTTTAATTATCCAGTTTCCTTATTTATATATCTGTAAAATACTTTTATTTTTTTTATTTTAAATCAGAAATTATTTTATTTTAAATCAGAATTATTTTATTTTAAATCAGAAAAGATATATGTGTCTATAAGTAAGATGCCATAAGGAGGGTGAAACACTAATATATTATCATAAAAGATAACATATTAGTGTTCCACTCTCCTTATGCCATATCTTTAATTTTATGGATGCATCTTTTCTGAGTTGGCAGGTATGTATATGTGTCTGTATATATATTTATATAACATGTTTTAATTCATGTATATTTCCTATTGAGGTTTCATTTAAATTTCAAATGAAAAGACAAATTTTGAATGTAAAAGATTCAATTTATTTTTATCATTGAAAAGGGGAGGAGAAAGAAATATGTTACTTCTGTGTAAAATTATCCAAAATATTTACACTGAAACTTCCATAAATTATAATTATTTGGGAAAAATATGTAATATATAAATATTCTGGTATTTTAATCAAGCTCATATTTGGGTAAGAAGTAAAACTCAGTTTACATGCTTTAAGAAAATCATTCTGTGATTAAGTGGACTTTGACATTGATACTGTGAAGTAATTTGCTAGATTTCTGTACAGTAAAAGCTCAACTATCTAGAAAATGCAGAAAATGCCGAATTCTGCATATGTGAAAATTTCGAAAATGGAAAATGTAAATCGCAGTAAAAAAGCCAAATGGATGGAAGAAAAAAATTCTAGTCTAAAATGAGTATATTTGTTATCAGATTTAAATTAATTCAGTTTAGAAAAAGAAATAGGGTATTTTAGACACAAATGCCAACATAAAACATCATATTCGATTAAAAAACACTGTCGACCATGAAAATTCATGGAAATCTCATTAAATGTGCTAGCCATACTGGTAGAAGTTTGAAGGAACTGGTTGCTCTTTCTTTAGTTAGATAATGAACATATGCAAGTTACAGACATTGAATATTAAATCTTAAATTGCTTGTCATAATTTTTCACGCTGGACAGACAGTGTTTATCCATTTTCACATAAGTCATACTTTTCTTGATGCCATGTTAGCATCAAATGCACATTGTTCCATTGAAGGCAAATCCTAAATTTTAATCATCTGCTTTGCAATTGAAAAGCAGATAAATGACACTTACCTTATCTCTCTCTCTCTCTTTTTTTTTTATTGTAAAAATTAAACCACCGTACTGAGAATTAATCAGGTTTATGCAATTAATGAGTGTTACCTCACACTTACCCATTGTTGGTGCTACATTACACTGTTTAGTGACAGTTTTTGTTTGATTCTAATTGTAGTCCTACTTATGCTTTATATTATTATATATTGATATAATTATATATATAAATTTTGATTTATTTGTAAGTTACAAATTTTTTTCTTTGCTTCATTTTACGTTCAACAAAAGTTTCCAAAATTTGAAAATATTCTGGCTGTTTGAGCTTTCCTGTTAGCTGAATACCTGGATAGTCTGGCCTTTTCTGTATTAGCTGGCTGTTTTGAATAATTATCAGTTAAAACAATATAAATATAGTAAGAGGGCAGTTTAAGTATACTGGTTTAACCTAATAGTCTGTCATCATGCAGTTCATGTTATCTGACACATTTTGAATCTCCTGCCATTCATTTTATGAATTTATCAGTAGGTAGAGGCACTTTTAGTAGCATTCAAGATCCATATGTTTAATTTACAGCTGAGTATTTTGGTTTCATAGTTCTCTAATATTTAGTTACATTGTAGCCATTCAAGATGTCAAAGAAACTAAAAGATGCAGAAAATAATTGTAAGCTGAAATCATTATTTATTAAAGACACTGTATGATGGGATCGGATGGTCACTTGTATGGTTTAAAAAGAATAAAAGAGGTATTTTCATTTTTGCTGAAAATGAAGCCTAAAAATCAAGTTGCAGAACCTCATTTAGGACCATTAAGGAAGATATTTTATCTCTTGTTTTTAAACTTTGTTCTGCCATTGATATTATAGTAATATGTATATAGAGTTAAGCTTTCAGGCTTGTGATTTTCTGTGGCTTGGTAGCACCCAGGTCTGGATAAAAAGTTTTAGACTAAGAAGTACAATCTGTATTTAGACACTTGTATTCTTTCATTACTCTTTTTTCAGTTGTTTTTTATCACGATCATTATTCATTCATTGTTAACGTATATTACTTTTTTATGCTACAGTAATGCTGAAATTATTCTTTAAATTCAAAATATTTAAAGATGATTATGGGCTGCATTTTCTCATATTTTTTGGCATCTGTTTGCTAAATAAAAATCAAGGTTAAAAAATGCAGTAATTGTTTTAAACATAAAGCTAAACTAATGCCTTTTCATTAATTATTAGAACAATATGCAATTAATTTTTCAAAGATAATTTATGCCTGCATATTTTTACAGAGTACCTTGAATAACAGAACTATTGATTTCATAGGACATTTACTATTTTAAAATTTAATGTGCATATTATAAACAATTAAATATTTTCTCAGTTAACAACTTCTAACAGTCCTTTTGTTGGGGTGTAAGGTCTGTATAAGTAAAAATAAAACTGAATTAATGCTTGGCAAATAAACATATTCAGTTTGTAACATTCTGGTCTGATGCTCCCATACAGTCGAGTGTTATGAATTTATAGACGATTGTTTTCAATTATTGTTTGATGTGATTAATTCCATCCTTCCCAGATCTATTCATGGATTTTTTTAAATTTTTTTATTATTATATTTATTTATTATAGGTATTATATTTTACTTCTGAGATGTCAGTTTGTGATTACCTTCTGCCATCCGCTGTAATAGAACTGTGGCATTTCACCTCTTGAGAGGTTTCATGGCAGAGACTTCAGTCATTAAATAATATATGCAATTTCATATAATGACTATGTCATCATAATACAGAATTTAATTTCCAGAAATCATGGCACTTTATCAATTGACATTCTTCTTCACTCTTCCATTTAAATGGTCTTGTATTTATTCTTCATTTAGATGGTCTTGTTTTCATTTAGATGGTGTTAGTCTTGTATTTGTGAGTGTAAAAAAAATATATATATATATAAAATGCTGGAGTATAACTTATCCTTCCAAAAATATCTTATGAAAATAAAGATGTAAAAAATTTTGTAGGAAAATATAGTACAGATTTTCATTCTGCTGGGATATTTCTAAGCATGTTGATAATTAGCACTGATTGATTGTAAGGCATGATTGGACAATTGTCATATACCCTTATAAAATAATATTTTTGTATGAAAGAGTACATGTAAATATGTGAAAAATTTTGCAAAGTCTGAAAAATAGTTGTTTGTTTGCTTAAGAGTTTGAAGGTCTTATTGACAATATTTTCACACTCAGAAGACTTAAAGCTGATTGCAGTTCTGCTTCTCCTAAACTTTCCTGAGGAGATATAAAGGTTTACACTTAAAGATTATTAACTTAAAATTTGTGGAAAATATATCAGAATGTAAAAACAACAACATACCAAAAAATTTAATTTTCTATTTTAGAGTCTGGGAACTCTGATAATGGTATGAATGAGTAAGGTAGTGATTTCTTTTGCTATCTATGAATGCTAAAACTGCAGAGGGTGTTTGCACATTTTCAGAATTATTTGGATAAAGAATAAAAAAGCAAATGTTTTGGAATACAAATTTCTGGCAGCAGCTTATTATTTGAAATGAGAAGTATCGTCTACTACTTTTAAATTTATTCTTTCAAAATGTTGCATTTAAACAAGCTGGGGATTGAAGGATTTTTTTTTTTTTTTGCTTTTTCTGAGAAATATTCGTATGCCATAACCTCAAAACATTGTAAAATATATCGTATTAAAATTTCTAAGTATAAAAATAAACAACCTTATTAATCGGAAGGGAAAGAACTGTCAATCATTACTTTTACATACAAAGAAGACTATTAATATATACCCAATGAAGGTATCTACTGTTTCTAAAATTAAATTGTTAATAACGAGATAAATCCGCTGATGCGTAAATCAGTTGCAAAGTCTAAATGCATCTGTAGCAACAAGAAATAAATTAATAAACCAATATTTACAACTTAAAGAAAGCTAAAAACATAATCTTCATCAGCTTTTACCGAGGCATGTGCCTGAATGCAGAAAAATTGTATAACCTTGTATGAAAACAGTT